TGTTGCTGAGCCAGGTTAATACTAAGTTTGGCAATCTGGTCTGTTAGTTGTTTGATAGCTTGGTCTGTTTCTGTAGTAGTGTTGGCAGCCATTACATGTCCAGTTTCCTATTGTTTTGCAGTAATAATAGCAGCATTTAGGTTAGCAGGTTTACTAGCTTGTACATTGATAGAAAATTCAGAATGTAGTTCTTGAATAAATAATTGCTTGGTAAAGTCAACAGAAAAAGCATCACCAGAGTCAACTCGTCTCCTTAATTGTCTAAAATGATTAATATAGGCATCTACTATGTTTAAGCTTTGTTTAATATCAAAAAGCTGTTTCTGCCAAATAGCTTTTTGTTTAGATGTATGGAAGTGAAGTCTAAAGAGATGTTTAAAGCTTCTGTTTTGGTTGGCATTATTATCAAAAGCATTTGGGACAGAGTTAAGACTTTGTTACCAATCTAATGCAATTTCTTTTAAATATACAGAAGTAAGTTCTAATTTTTGAACAGCATTCCACTTGTTGGCAGTAGCAGCTCTTCAAAAATTTTTGAGCCATTGTTCTAGGTCTTGGGTTCTATTATCATAAAAGAAATCAGCTTTCATAAGAGCTTTTTCACTTCTATTTAGGGCATTAGTAAGGTTAGCCATAGCTTGTGCAGCATCTTGTAAAGCCTGTTGTGCCATATTGTCAAGTGGATTAGGAAGGTTATCAAGAATAGGTAGAAGTGGAAGAAAAAGTTGAGGTTGAGGTTGAATAACAATAGGTTAAATTTGGACAGCAATAGGTTGAGGTTGAATAGGTTAAAGTAAGGGAATAACAAGTTGAGGTGAAGGTGAAGAGGAAGGACTATCTTCAAAAGTTTGTTGAAGTGAATCAGTAGAAATGTAATCTGGGCTAGAGGTTTCTATAAAGTTTACAGAAACAGTAATATATTCTTCTGTTTCTAAATTGTTAGTGAGTAGTAGAGGGATTTGTGAAATTCAATCAGAAGTATAGTGACTTTCAGAAAGTTTAATAGATGTAACTAATTTACTATACAGAGCTAAGCTATCTGCTAGGTCATATAAGAAGGGAATATTATCAGTAAAAATAATATCAGTAGTAGATAGTAGGATAGGACTTTCTAAACTTCTACAATATTAACTAAATTCTTCTGGTTCTTTATAGCTAAAACTTAGAGAAGCATCAAGGTAAGATCAAAAGCATTTTGATATTTAAAAGGTAAGATAGAAAATTAAAAGAGGTTGGTATATCTTCTAACTAGAGTTAAAGCAATTGTTTTAAAATTACTAACATCTTGTTGATATCGACAGCTAAAAATAATATCTCTAATGCAGAGGCAAATTGTGATTCAGTTTGGATATAAGGTAGTAAAGTGGTAAAGTTGTTCTAAGTTTTGTAAGAATAATATTGAGCTGCAAAGTTGGTTTAGTACCAAATTCAAAATTGTTCAAAATCTGAGTAAGGGCTGGTACATCAAGAGAAGTAATACTGAAGACAAAATAAATCTGGATGTTATGCTTGAAGTATGTTTATTGCAAGGTAAGATCCAGTTAGATGTGCTTGTTGGTGGCTTTGGATGTTTTTGTTGTAGAGTTTAGCAGCAGTGTAAACCATAAAAGAAGATATGTTTCTACATTCAGGACTTTGCTGAGATAATTAATACTCATCTGGATCTCTTGCCAGGATAACTAATACTCATCTGATCTCTTGCTAGAATAACTAATACTCATCTGGGTCTTTTGCTAAGATAACTTTTCTAATATGTCTGAGAATGTTTTGTTCAGAATGACTTGTTTTTTCTAAAAATTTAACTATTCCACCAGAAGGCACAAATGTTATAGGTGAAAGCCTTTTTAATTTTCACACTATAATAACAATATAGTACAGAAAATTCCTTATAGATATATGCAGTATTCAAGAGGAAAGTATAACTTCTATTAGATATTGTCAAAAAACTATACCCTTCTTTGAGGCAGTTCAGGAAAGATAATGCAATACTAATAACTTTACTTTATTTCACTATGAAGAGATAAACCTTGTCTGTAGGAATTACTTTAGAAAGGGAGTATTAATACAGTTTATAGATAAAAGCTGTTTATTAAAGTAATAACAAGAAGAGCTATCTTTAGGTTTCTGTTCCTAAAGAATTCCAAGATGTGTTTACAATATTAAAAAGAAAAGGTATATCTGTTGCTTAATCATATTTAGAGAATTTAGCAGAGTTTATATATCTGTGAGCTAAGTAGCTAAGCAGTCAAATAACTAAGTGATTAAGCAACTAAGTAACTAAGCATTAAGTGACTAAGTGACTAAGTGACTAAGTGACTAATTAATTACTAAGCGACCAAAAGGTTCTAGCAACTAATGACTAATGATTACTAAGCAACTAATTACTAAGCAACTAAGTGACTAAGTGACTAAGCGATTACTAATTAATTAGAAAGTTTTAGCAACTACTAATAATAATAATAATACAATAATAGAATAACTAATACTAAATAATAATAATAAAATAATAATAATAACTAATAATAATAAGATAATAATAATTTATTTTATAATACTACAGAAAAAGTTCTACATACTATTAAATAACAGCCTAATAACAGAGCATGTAGATTTCTTAAAATAAGTTATAAAAAGCTTAAACATTGCAAACTATATATGCTATATGCAATTACATACTTACTTAACAAATGTCTTAATACAAACAATATTTCTAAATAATAAAAAAACAGTAGAATTTATCTAATATTAAAAAAGCCAAACTTTGATAAAAACCTTAACAATACATATTCTATCAACTTGATAAAACATACTAAAAAACTATACACAAAAATACTAACAAATAGACTCACATCTATTTTATAATACACCAAGTTACTTGTTATCAAGTGTGCCAAATTTGGCTTGATATATTCAAAGTGTGCCAAATTTGATTTGATATATTTAAAGTATGCCAAATTTCAAATTTGATTAAATATATTTAAGATGTGACAAATTTAGATTTTAGATTTTGGTTAAATATTGTAGTTTAATTTTTGAAAATTACAGATGCCTGAATTGAAATAACAATTCTTACTAATCCAAAGTTATGCAAAAAGTAACAAAAATGTTACTTATGATACTTATATTACTTCTGCTACTTTGGTCACATATTCATTAAATAACATATTAGCCTTTTATTACATTTAGTTAAGATATTGAACATAAAAAATATATTGTATTTATAACAAAAATTAATTATATATGTAAATAAGACATTTATTATAAATAAAGGGCATTTCTGTCTAGAAAAAGAAAAAGTTTTATATACCACAATTCTGAATCTCTAACAATATCTTCCATTATAACAATAAGTATCTGATCTCTAATAAAAATGAAAGTATTATCCTATGCAAACTAATAAACTATTATTAATCTTCTTGTTATTACTATCACTCTCCAGTAAACTACCAAACCACAAGTTGATCATTTATTATAAGTTATATAATCAAGAAAGCTGTTAAATAAATAAAAGAGTTTCAACCCTAATTTGATATATAGTAATTCCAAGTTAAGATATACAAAAAAAGACAAAAAAAGACAAAGGTTAATAAAAGAATAAGTTGAAGAAAAGACTTTAAGAGAAGATTAGTACTTACTTATAGAAAAACTACTAGTCAAATCTAATATGCCTTTTTTAACTTAGTCATTGTAAATTATATGAGAGTTAAATTAGTTTAGCAACAAACTTTCTGATTTCTGAATTACAATATAAATTCTTAAAACTTGTGAGATTTTAAAGTAGACAATTAATGAATTCAAAATATAAGCATGTTCTTTAGAAAGAACCAAAAAATTTTTAAAAGTTCATATAGGCTAAGTGCTAAAAAAAAAGGAATGAAATTGACAAAAAAGACTTTTAGAAAATTAATAAGAAAATAAAATACAAATTTTAAGAAGCTATATTGCAAAATTGTATTAATACAATACTTTGTATAATTGTCAATTTCACTTTTTTTCTTAGCACCTAGCTTATATAAATAAATATATTTTTGTAAAATACAGTCAATTACATAAACAAGTTTTCATAGATAGTACATAATAGCACATATTATTTTAATCTCTTGCATATAATTTTGGTCGTTTGTGTATTATTATAATATTATATAAAGTATATATTAATGTTATTTAAAATCTATCTATTTTTAAAAGTGTAATTTTAAATCAAATGCAGCTAAGTTCTTACTAAATAATTATAATCATCTCAATACTATAATAGATCTAGAAAACCTAAATAACATATACTAACATATATAATGTTTTTTGTTTTATATGTCATACCTCTTCTTAACAATTTACTTTTTACAGACTAAATACAATATAACAAAAGTTTGTAATTTATTTTTTTAGTATTAATTATTTAAACTTATACAAAACAAATAATAAGTATATAATTCTTATTCTTAATTTTACACTATTAGTATTTATTAACCTAACTCTAAATCAATTTCATTAGGTATATATTTATGAGAATGAAACTTACATATAGCATATTCTGCTATCTAGCCAGTAAGTCCATGTTTATAAGCATTTATATAATGCTATGCCTTTTATGCAAAATAATATATAGTTGTAAGTAATACTAAATTAAGTGCTTCAGATACAGTAACTTGTAATCTAGACCATGAATAATCATAATGCTTATGTGAATAATGTTTTATAGTACTCCAGTATCATTTAATAAAATTTAACTCATAGTAATATTTAGGATAAAATACATAAACATGATCTTATTCAATGATAAGTTCCTTTAATGCTGATTTTTGTATAATAAAATCAGGCTGTGCAGACAAAAGGTGACAATTAGGTGCACCTAGATTATAATAGTTATTTTCATACTTTAATTTTAGACTATTAGTAGGCTATAAGTTATGCTTACAAAGTACTTGTTAAATACCCTTTGGTTGATCACAAAAGATATAATTAAAATTATCAGAAGAAAGATTTTTAGAAAAGATTATTGGCTAAGTAATTTGTTTGTTTTGCTCATTATTAAACCAACTGTCATATAATTTTGACTGTTTATCATTAGGATAAAGATTCATGTTTTTAGTATATAATGCATTACTTGCAAAAGCACTATAATTGGTGCTGTTATTGAATGCAAAAACACCAATACAGTTTGAGTAAGTTGCTTCAAAAATAGAAATTGCTTTATTGGCTACTTGTGTAAACAAGTTAGAAGCATTCAACCAGCCATTATCATTTTTTTCAGATTTGATAATAACATGAGCTTCTTGTGAAAATGTTGATAGTAGGTTTAATTTATTTATTTTTATAGAAGTAATTGTGAGGCAACCACAAGTCTTAGTTAAAAACTCTAAAATTATAAGTGCTTTACTCTTTCTTTTTTTGCATAGTAGTAGCATACCAAGAGAAGTCTACATTGAAGAATGGTCATCATTTGCATAGAATGTACACTTATTATATATGACAAGAATATGTATTTGTTTTTTTTTACTTATTTGAAGTTAATAATTATTTTCATATTTTCATCAACAAATTGTAATATTAAAGTTTCAAGATCTTTTATTTTTCAAGAAATATTGCATGATATTGTACAATGTCAGGATATTCATATTTATTATAGTAAATACCTTGTTTATGTTATCAATATACAAGACCAAGATGATAAAGCCAAGTTTAAGCTATCTCTAATAAAATTAAAATATAAAAACTGATAACTATAATAAAACATTGTTCTGAACATAATTTTGAAATTTTTCAGTAGTTATTCTTTTACTCATAGTACAGATAAAATGCAAGCAAGAACTTTGTACATCTTTATCATCAATAAAAGTTGGTATGTATTTCATTATCTTTGCTTAAAGATAGATAAAGTTTCAGTTATAATTTAACTCTTTGATCACTTATGAATATGATGTGCCATTTATAGACTACATTGAAAAACTTGTTGTGATATTTCAAGACTTAGTTTTATATGAAAATGCAACTCTTCATGATTGAATATTGCAGCAAAATATTTATATATAGCAAGAAAACAAAGATATTCATAAGTATTAATATTTTTTATATTTTATATTTAACTTCTAATCTTTTTACAGGTTTAAAAAAATTGTTCAAACTCATTGATCCTAGTATTACCTTCTGTAATCCTTTATTTTTGTATTGCTAAGTATGTTTTAAACTACCAGAATAATATAGTAACAACTACCAGATGCTTTATTATCTTATTAATATTATAAAATAAACTATTTTTATAAACTAACCATTCAGCTTTTTCTTTACTAAGTTTTATCTTATTCTTATTAAATTTCTTCTCATTACTGCTTTTAGATTTATAGACTAAAAGTTTCAGATTACTATATTCTAAATTATTATATTCTAAATCTGCAGCTAAAAATTTTCTATCATTATTTCTACTTTGTATAAGTATACATTTTTTTGCAACATTTTTGAGTTTTGATTTTGGCATTGTTAAAATTTATGAATATAGAATATAATAAGATAATATTATAAAAAGGAATAGGGTCCTGTAGCCTAGTGGTCTAGGCATTCCTCTTTTTACAGACAAGGTCCACAGTTCAATTTTAGCTAAAGGCAAAACTTTGTAATCTATGAAAGCATATGAATATATGCAAAGCCCTGTAGCTAAGTCCATGTGATTAGAAGATCAGTATATAAGGAAGTTCTTGGAAAGAAGTTTTCCAATATAGAGAGTTAATGCTCAATGTGAGAGAAGCAATGAATATACCAGAAATAGAGAGAAGGTGCACTAGCAGATGATATGATAAATATAAAAAAAAACTATGAAAAAGGAATAAACTTACTAAAATTCAAACATTTCTGGCATCAAAACTGGTTCTAGTAGTTACAAAATCTACTAAAATTAGATAAATCTAAGGAGTAATCTTGGTACTATACTTAGTAAGTTTGTGTTAAGAGTAAATTCGAAGGACTATAGATACTTAGTAACATTCAATAAGATGGTACTTAGATGTAAATAATAATTAGATAGCCTTAACCTGTTTTGTCATAATACTTAGTGATATACATTGTATATATATGCAGTAAGTATTAAAAATCAGAAAGTTTAAATAGAGAACTTACAGGTAGATCTCAGGTATGGGTAATCTATAGGCAGAACTCTTAATTAGATAATGACTAAAGTTATACATATGACTAGTTGTACTTTTGTTGATATATCCTGTATATAATATGTAATCTTAAATAGCTAATAATAAAAAGACATACAGATGAAATCACCTTTAAAACTAAAAAAAAAGATAATATTATAAAAATAAGATAATTAAGAACATAGCTTTTGTAAAAAAATATAGCTTTATATTAAGTTTTTATTATATATAATATTATTGATAAAGATATAATTTATACTTATTTTTGTTTTTTTTGTTTTTTTTTTAAGATGACCTTTTTGGCCTTTTGACTTTTATTAATCACTTATTGGTAATGTAATTCAATGAACCACTACAGAAGAGAGTACAATTGGCTACACATGTAACTTTTCTATATTATCTATTTAAGAAGTTTGCCTGAAGGTTCTATACCAATTGTCATATTTAATACCTCTGTTTTGGTATTCTACTTTAAACTCTCTGAACCTGTAATCTGTGTTAACTTACTAGGTCATATTCAGATACCTATATCATTATCCCAACTTTAGAACTAATTTATCTTTAAAGTAAACCCTTCAGAGTCTTTTGTACTTATTTTTATAGCTGATCTAGATATTGTTATAACAGAACTAATACTTGCAATTAAGGCTTAACTATTAAACCATTATGCTCTTGTAGAGTTTACTTAGACCCTAGCATCTACTTCATAGCATAACCCCAGTACTTTAGTATATCTCTGCTTTTTTTCCTGTCTTTTTACCAAACTTCCAATTCAGATAGCCTATGTAGGACTATAACCAGTTTATTAGTATATCGAGTTATCTCATTAACCTTTTCTTTTGATTTGTTTTAGTAGTCTGATTAGTAATACCTTTGAGACTTCTAACTTAGAGGTTCTTGCTTATCTAGCTACTATAACTGGGTACTAGATCTTGGTATCTGTTTTACTAGGCTAGTCTTTACAGTAGAGCCATTAAAAATCCAGCTATCTTTTTACTTAGGTCTTTCCAAATGAACTTCTTGTTATTTAATTTTAACAGATTTACACAATTACAAGGACTTATCTAGTGTTTGCACTATCTAATTTGTTAATTTGCATTCTTTTATATAACTTCAATATTGCATAGATGCTTTATAATCTGCTAGTCATGCTGGTGCAACTGCCATTATAGATATTCTAACTTATCGTTAGTAACAGTTGCCATAATATAAATATTATATAGGTGATTATTTAAATTTTTACTGTTAATAGGATTTGAATACCCAATCTACCACTTGGAGAGTTGACAACCTAACCACTTCACTAGATCATCACATTCCTTTCATGTTTATTTTTGTTTGAAAATCATATTAACTATGTATTTAGATTTATAAATTTGGATCAGTTTTTTTAAAAAGTCTTAGTATTTTATTGTTAATAATATATAAAAAAAAAAACTTGTAAATATTTACATTCCTATTCTTAAAGAATCTTGACTATTATGAAATATAATTTTTTTTTTATCAGTTCTTGAAACAACTAAAAGTAAAAATTGTTATTATTGTAAAATTAGTTTTAGTGATTAATAAGACAGAAATTTTATAATCAATTTATATATTTCTTTTGCTTATTAACCTAATTATGCTGTTGTGTTTGTATAACTGTAACTTGGTCACTTTCTGATCTAAAATCTTATATAATATGCAGTAAGTAACTTTTATAAAAGAGGTTATTAGATTTGGCTAGTGAGTGATTAAGGCTTTTGGTTACTTTAAGTCAATAAAGGCAAGCAGATCAAGTTATATAATAAAGGGTTTGAATAAACAACAGTGATTATAGAGGTTTATACAAGGTTAGTAATAATAATAGTGTTAGCATTTATTATATAAAATGTAATATATTGGAGACTTGTTATTTTCAATAAAGCAAGCAAAGTGTACTTGTTTCTAAGGACCATTTCAGCTTTTATTTATAATATTAATTTTTGTCACTTACATATGCAACTTTATACTTACTATGCCTTAAAACTATTTAATACTATAATTGTTTATTTAACTTTCTTAGAAATGTCTAATTTGTATATATATCCTTCTTTTATCCCTTATCTACTCTTTTGAATCTGAAATACTATTTCTGATCACAAATATAACTTATTGCACTTATTGCATTTCATGCATTTTTCACATGATTGGTCATGATATTTTGGTTTTACAATACTTACAGGTAATACAATTGTACTGCTATTATATACTATTGAATAATATAAAATAAAAAATTATTAAAATATAAAACATTCAGATGAATTAAAGCTTAAAATTTATATTCTTATGCTAAAGAAATACTAGCATTACAATACTAATATGTATAGCAATATTGAGAAGTAAAACTCTTAAATTTTTTATAATTTAATGATCCTTTTTAGGAAATATATTAAATAAATCTGAATTAATCTGGTTGGTTATAATTCAAATTTAGTTAAATAGTTTTACATTCTTAACCAATATGCATTATCTTTATGTAGCAATAGTTTTTACCTTTTTATTCTTTGTAATACCTATATCTATATTATACTGTAGAAGTTCAATATTAAAGTTTTTCATCAGAAGAATTATGTTTAGCAGATTTTAAATGTAAATCAAATGCTTTCTTTTTATTCTTCATAGTGCTAATGTTTTCTTTATAACAAAACTAAGATTACATTATCAACTAAAGTGATCATCTTTACAGATATTAAATATCATTTGAATGCTTTCTAGAAGTATCTACTTTTATAACAATATCTAAGAGAATTTTGCCCTATTATGTTACTGTCTTTTGTTTTTTCTTGGAAGTATATGTATGTAATGCTATTGTTACAAAGTCTAATATTACACTGCCTATAAAAATTTTTAGCAGATTTTAAGTTAACTCAAAATATTAAGATACATAGCAATATAAATAGTTCTCTAATTAATGAAGTTCTAACTCTATAAAATATGCATCAAAGTCAAAGTTTAATTAAAACTTATACTATATATAATAAGCATTCTTTGTAGCCTTATTATTTCAAGCAAAAGGTACAGATTAAAAAAAAATACAAATTAATTAAATAATTATAATTATCTATAGCATTAAATCAATTTTGTTAAATTGTTAAATTAGTATTATCTAAAAATTTTACAATAAATATTTAATTTAAATGTAAAAACATATGTACATACTAAAACTCTATTGTCACAAGAGTTAATAGTAATTATAGCTACTAATGTCTATCTCAAAGGTAAAGCAATGTGCAAATTGAAGACTACTAGGACCATATTGAGTAAGTATCTTAGTATACAATATTCAAAGTATATTATTTGAGAGAAAAGCACTTCTGATTTTTTTTACTTTATTTTTTTACTTTATTTATACTTACTTTGACTATTTTAATTACATTATTTTTCAATTATATATATTTAACTTTTAATTAATTTACTAATTATGCTGTTTTTACAAACTTTATTACATTTTTTATGCCTTGATTATTAATTTACACATTATTAACTTATCTAATTTTTATGTTACTAATTTATTACTAATTTATTCTCTTATACTCAATTCTATGCTTTGACTTATATTAATGATCATATAAGTATATGGCATCTTGTTCATTTCATTTTGAAGTCTTTTCTATTATTTGACACTTTTTTTTTTTTATAATATATCTAACTTATATTCTAGACAAATGCATTATGTATTGCATTATTCTGTCATACTATATTAGCAAGAAAAAAAAAACTTATAAAACTGATTTTTGAGTAAACTGATCAAACTAATTAAATATAGTCTTGAAAATTAATTTATCATTGTCTTCATGTCAATTTTATATAAATTATATATATAATGCTAATTTCTATAAAAACTATATATAATAATATAGTGCTAATTTTATAAATTATATAATAAATTATATAATAAATTATATAAAATTTCTATACTTTAGCTGTTTATAACTTGAATGTTTAAGCTTTTAAAAAAATTCTAAATAATAATTTAAATAGAACTAATAAAAAATAATAGTTTTTATTAATTATATTTTGAAAAAATATTTAAAACTTAAGATTTTATAAATTTTTAAAAAATACATAATTTTTGATGAAAAGTAACTTAGTGCATCATATCAAAATATCTAATACTTAATCTTTACAACTATGTTGCACTGTTTGGCAACAGCACTAATATTCTTATACATATATTTAACAACTTTATTAAAGATATATTATGCAACAAAAAACCATTCTGGCTTTTATCACAAGACATAAACAAAGCTTATAAGTTTGTTAACATTGCTTTTTTGAAAAAAGCCTTATGTAGAATTAAACTTCTTCTATCTATTGTTCTTACAATTATCAACTTACTACCTTTATATACTTATCAAGTTATTACTAACTTTGGTCTAACATCTATATACATAGTAGAAGATGAAATCAACCAAGAAGAAACTATTATCACTCTTTTATAGTAAATATATTATAACCTACTAATTCATTATATTTATACAAAATTTAAAAAATACACTATTGCTTTAACAAGACTAACCTTACTATTTTCTCTTAAAACCAAAAAATACAAGTTAATACTTCTATTCTCACTTATATGAATAACATACTGTAGATTGCAGACTCTTAACAACAACTTCAAATGATTCTAAACACAGCTTCAACATTTTACCAAATAGCAAACATTAAAGTTAATCCAAACAATCTACTTTAATATCTAATACAAAACTTATATTTACATTCAATTTTATAAATACTACTATATAAACACAGCCTTATAATACATCTTTAAAGTTTTTAGAATGCTAGTACACAGCAACTAATACATAATTCATTATATCTAGAATAATTGTACAAAAAATACTAGGACTAACAAAAATTATACAAACTAAATAAATAACAAACAAACAAACTAGTTATATTATTAATAATAGAATTATACCTATTTTTGAATATTAAATATATAATGTAGTCATATCTCACAATATATGCAACAAGATTTTGTTAAAATATCTTATTGTGACCAAACACAAATCCAATTTTCAGTTATTATTTTTAACAGTACAATGCTTAATTACAACATATATAGAATCAAAAATATATAAAATATACAGTTATAGTATTATATTAGCAACTTTCTTCTTTGACTTAACAGAACAGACTTACTTGGAATCATCACTTAAATAAGATTATAACAACATCAAAACAACTTTTGGTTAACTATCAACATTCTTTAACATCCTAATCCTTTTATAGATAGAGCTAATAAACATACTACAACTTTTCAAATAATTCAACTTCTTAAACACATGCAGCTTACAATTTTTGCTTACTTAATACAACTTTACATACTAACATACCTATACATCTCAATCAAAACTCTTCTATATACACACCTTGATAATAACAACTTTAAAAAATAATTACATAACAAACACATTTTATATTTTGAATAAGTTACATTATTTAATAACTTTATACTTCTAAATTAAATACACATCTCATCTAAATTTAAACAAATTTCTACTGAATAAAAACCTAAATAATTTACTATATTAAAAAACAAAATTATTACAGATAACTATATCAAACAAATAGACTTATTATTAAACCTTTCTAACTTTAATTTTCTGTTATTTACAACAGACTATTATAGTTCTAAATCCAAACTATGACTAATTATTTTTGATTACAATTACTAAAAAATAATTATTAAAAAAATACACAAATACAATACTAATGCCAATACTATTTTAATTATATACTAGCTAACCAAACATAACCTTTTTTATATCAGCCTTTATTCACTTCTAATCATCAATTGTATATGATACATAGGATGTATATATAACTCAAACAAAAGTCAAAATTACTGCACTTTTAACATTCTAGCTAACTTTGTAACAAAATTCTTAGAATGAAAAAAATACATTAATACAAAAGAACTTAACTTAAATGCAAACTATCTAGACCTTATTTATTCTATTGCTTTACAGTTACTTCTAACAATTCTATTATTATTTACTATTATACTTATCAACACACCTATATTTAACTTATTTCAAATCAATTCTTCTTCTATTAAACTTTAAAAAATTGCTAACCTTAACAAGAGATACACAAACTTTATATTTTATACAGATAAATTAGTCACTAATCTCACTACTGATAGATGTTTTATAAACATCAGATGGGTACAAATTTACAATAACATAATACTTCAATCATATTTTTTTTATATTAAACTTTAGTCATCATTTTACAAAGCAAAACTTATAGCAATATTATTTGCTATTTGCATATATTTATGCAACAGCAATATACAAATTTATACAAACTTCTAATCAAATATTGCAAAGTTTAGCAAAATTACTAATTATCTAATTCTAGTACATAAACAATACTTTTATTCATATTGGCCTATCTGTCATTTACTACTTAATCTAATTCAATCCTATCAATATACAATTATTTTTCACAAAATATCTGCATATAGTAACAATATATTTAACAATGCAGCTAATAAGCTAGCAACAAACTACAACTCTAATGTATATTTTAATTTAATATATAACAATTTATATAACACCTTATATACTTTAAAATACAGAAAATACATAATCAAACAACCTACTAGATGAGCTATTAAAAACATTTGTAATGCATATATAATTGTCATATAATCATCACAACATCATATAAGCAATATTATTTTACTATCATTACAAATTAACTGAATGCAACATAGATATATCTTAACAACAATATTAAATGAACAAATAACTATATCAACTTTTTATTTAATTAAAATAAACTATTCAAAATCAAAACACTACTCAATATTTTACTAATACTATATCATCTTTATGAACTATACTTAGACAGCTTCTAGCACAACAACTGCATTACTTGCCAAACATTAAAACATTTATTGCACTGGCTACTTTGTTCTAATCCAACAAATCTTACTAATATTATTACAAAACTAATTTTTGAAATCATTAACAATAACTTATTATTAGATATTACATAATCATAATTACAATAATTATATTATTTACTAACTTAATATAACAGTCTATCAGTTAATAATGTTTATTAAGAACAAAGCAGCATATATACAATACTACAAGAATATGTGCCAATAGATCTAATTACTACAATCAGACTCTATACTACATTTCATCAAATTGCAATCTTAATAACTATCAAACTGCTTACTAAAATATCACAAAAAATATATAATTATATATGAAAACCATATGTTACTAAATTAACACAATAGAAAAAAAACAATAACATCATATTAAATAACAAATTTATAACTTACAAAAGATCCTATAATTACTTTAATCAACATCATAATTTACACTATACAGTCTGCTAACTGTGCAGTCTATCTAACCAACTCTATACAAAAGATAATAACTGCCTACTACTAGAAAACACACTTTATAAAATTGACTTTTGGTCTGTATACTGGATACTATACAGCTATTCTACAAATAATATCTTATATTATCAAATATAGATAAGTTTTAATTATTTTAGTAGGTTTAGGTTGCAAATAAATTAGATAGAAATCTGTTTATAGTCTGAACTTCATTCTTGTAATATATTTGTAATTAAAATAAGTTTGTAATTTATATTTAGAGAAGTTTTTAAAAGCTTTTTTAACAAATCAATAAAGATATAAGCAAAACCTCACTTTAAAAAAAAAAAAATTTAAAAAAATAAACTTTAAAATATTTTTTTGATCAAAATTTTATAAAATTATAAATATTTATTATATATAAAGTTGTAGACATTAGAAGATCAATTACTATTTACTATAATGTATTGATATGATATATTTAATATAACATATTAAATTATATATAAAATTTATATAATATAAAATATAATATATAAAAAAAACTACTTTTAATTTTTTAAATATTTGCATTTTTAATTATATAAAAATAATATAAAAATTTTTAATACTTTTTTTAATAATGTCTTAACAACTATATATCTATATTTAATTTTTTTTATTTGTATTCTACAGATCTGTAAAATTTAAATAAAAAAAATTTATTGTATTTAATTAAGTAGTTGTTAAGATATCATTAATAAAAATTAAAAAAATATGGTAACTTAGTGAAATAAATAAGTTGTCAACCTTTTAAGTAGTAAGTTGGATATTTAAATCTTATTGATAGTGAAAATTTAAATAATTGCTTATATAATATTTATATTATAGCAACTGTTTCTAATAATTAGATTAAGATATTTGTAATAACAGTTGTATTAGCATTACTTATAAATTATAAGATATTTATATAACTAGTTATACAAAAAAATACAAACTGGCATTAGATAATACAAACTCTAAATAAGTTCTTGTAACTATATAAATCTGCTAAAATTAGAAAACAAAAAGTTTATTTGAGAAGACCTAAGTACAAATATAGTATAAATCTTTGATAATACTATTGTAAAAGCTAGACTATTATAAATAAATTCCAATATTAAAGTATTTAAATAAGCAAGAACCTCTAAAATATGAATCTTAGAAACATTACCAACTAGACCACTAGAACAAATCAAAGAAAAGAATATTAGACTGACTTAATATACTAATAAATTAGTTGTAATCCTATATGGATTATCTGAATTGAAATTTAGAAAACAGGTAGAGGTATACTAAAATACTAAGAATATACTATAAAATAGATACTGAGTTTGAATAAACTTTACAAAAGCATAGCAGTTAAAGATAAAAATCTGATTGCAAGTATTGGTTCTGCTATAGTAATACTTAGATTAACTGTAAAAATAAGTACAAAAGGTTTTGAAAGGTTTATCTTAAAGATAAAATAGTCTTAAAATTAAAACAATAACTTGAGTATAACTTAGTAATATTAACACAGATATAGGTTTAAAAGATTTAAAATAAAATACTTAAGCAGTAATGTTAAATATAGCAATTGATAAAAAACCTTTAGACAGACTTTTTAAATAGATAATATAGAAAAACTATATATGCAGCCAATTATACACTCTTTCTATAGTGGTTTACAAAGTTATATTACCAAAAAAGTCATTAATAAAAGTCAAAAAACCAAGGAAATCATCTTAAAAAAATAAAATAAAATCATTAATAATATAACAAATTAAAAAGTAAAATAAAAATAAAATTACTTTAATAATAAATTTTTTATAATTTATTTTATTTAACAATTTAAGAACAGTTTTTAATGTTATAAAAAAATTATAAGACCAATCTGCACTATATATTGTTGAAAATTCACATTTACTAACTTCTTTAATATTCTTGAATTCATTATATAAAATCTATAATAATTGATAACATTTGTTATTGTTCAATATTCTTTTAAATTATTATTTAAATTATTTGGCATAAATTGACTTATCTTTTGTTTATATAGATAAGTAAACTTGTGTCAAATATAAACATATTTATTTAACTGCCACTTACATTTGATAACAATAATTAGCTAACCATAAATCTCTACTTACTCCGGTTTCAAACAGATAATATAAGTATACTTTACACATTCCAGTGCTATTACCCATCTTTGAACATTTTATTTACATTCTTCTCAGCATCTATTCCATTTTCATAACAACATCCAACATTAAATATTCCATCAACATGTATCATATCTGATGATTTTGATAATATCCAAATGCCTTCTTCATGTCTTTTTCAACTCCTATTTCATTTTCATAACAATGTCCAACGTTATATTTTCCATCAGCATGTTCCATATCTGCAGATTGTTGATAATATTCGAATGCCTTCTTTATATCTGTTTCAATTCCTATTTCATTTTCATAACAATGTCAAACTTTAAATATTCCATCAGCATGTCCTATATCTGCTGATTTTTGATAATATTCAAATGTCTATTTATGTCTTTTTCAATTCCTATTCCATTTTCATAAGATTATGTATTTCATTAGCATGTTCTATATCTGCTGATTTTTGATAGTATTCAAATGCCTTCTTTATGTCTTTTTCAATTTCTATTCCATTCTAATAAAAACGTTCAACATTAAATATTCCATCAGCAAGTCCTACATCTGCTGATTTTTGATAATATTTGAATGTCTTCTTTATGTTTTTTTTTCAATTCCTATTCCATTTTCATAACAACTTCCAACATTATATATTCCATCAGCATGTCCTACATCTGCAGACTTTTGATAATGTTCAAACGCCTTCTTTATATCTTTTTCAAACCATATTCCATTTCATAACAACGTTCTTCCAAAATATCATTGCTTAATTTTAACTTCATGCAAATGTCATTACATCTATGATTTGCCAAAAAAAATTTTCGAATTCCACTCTTTCCTAAGTTTGTGTTTCCAAATCTTAGCAAATCAACACAATGTATAGCTGGATCTGTTAACAAGAATTCATTACGGAGATTGACGTCTTGTAAGTCATAAACTACCAAATATCCCTCAGTGTATTTATATGTAAAATGAACAAATGCCTCGAGAATGGAATGAAATTCTGTAATTAGACCACTACTTGCGTTAAACTTTTTTAAATTCTGCATTATTAAAATATTTTTCCACAGAGTAACAGGCATTATCGGTCTTATCTTGTACCTTTTTTATTAACACCAACCCGCACTGCGGCAATATTGAATTCTGTTGATAAAAAATAAGCAACTTTAAACTTTCCACTGATTCTATATACCTTTCTATTGTACCTATTTTAATATCGTGATATTTTTTTATCACTAATTTATTAGCTCGCCCAAGGCTTGTATCAAGTGCGAAATAAGCATATAGTTTAGCACCGACAGCAAATGGTTGCGGTACAAGCTCAAAAGTTATGTTTTGTTCAATAAAGTTTGAATTTATAAAATAATATTCATCTTTAACTTCAGCAAGAGTTTTAGGTGGAATATGACATAAGATTTTTCCTGTTTCTCTGGATGAGTAGCCCAATCAGGTTCGTGTGAATTGATTTGAATTTTTTTTCGCTGCAGAGAGTATATGCTTTCCGAGCTTCTTAAAGTTGTAGTTAGTGTAATAGAAGAAAAAATGTCTGAGGAAGTAACTTTGCAAAATTTATTGACTAATACCTCAGGATTATTTCCTGTAGTCATAAGATCAAATATAGGAAATTCTTCAATTATTTCACAAAATACATTAATCAAAACATCGGTAGAATCATCAATTTTTACAAAATAGTATAAAATCTTTTTTAATTGCATTTTTTTTTAACACACTTCTGCAGTTAGACCATTTGGGTCACCGTCTGGATAATCATCAGATAAGTTGGTAAAACGACGACCATGTGGTGGTGCATCGCCGATATGAATAATAACACGAGTGGTATTGCTCCATGTCATCTTAGTTATCGCAGCATTAAGACCACCTAAAACATCTTCTGGATCATCATTGACACCTATAGTTTTTTTCACTTTGTTTGTTATGTTTTAAATTTAGTAAAATCAAAAATTTGTAAGCAATCACTACCATCAGAGTGATCACGATAGCCGCAGAAACCAACTGATAATTTGATATTTGAATTATTGCTGTCTACGTAACTAGCCACTTTTAATATATTCCAGGACGAAGCAAAGATCAAGGTTTATTAAATTTTTAATATTAATGATTGCCTTTGACGCATTATTTTCCCGTTTTTTTCGTAAATGTGAAACTCTGTCTATTAATGTTGATGTACTACTAATTTGGCCTGCCTCATCTTCGTAACGCCTAAGACGTTCTTCTAAGAGTTTCATATTGTTTGCGCTACAATCGTTTCTTATTTTTTGATTCATTTTTATAAATACTGTATCAATGTTCCATAACAAATTAGTATATGTATTCCTTTGTGTAAATTAGAAGAGTTTTGTTCGTATTTTACTGATCACCATGATATGTTTTACTTGCACTTATTTGTGCGAGTGTACAAAAAGGTGACACCTATTGATGTGATATTTGGCATGTTGCACGAAAAATACGTAGTCAAAATCTGCAAGGTTACATTCCTAAAATTCACACACACTATAGCACACTTAACCTTAACAGTTACGTTTATGTTTGTATTTTACTTTTTAGGGCAGTGTATCGCAGAAATAGGTGCTTACGTACGTAAATACTGTTGCGAACTGGGAGAGTTTTCCTACACGATGCGGGCCGCTAATATAAATATTAAGTATTATTTGAGAACGATATGTATAGGTTTTATGTGTACACCATTTATTAATTTTTAAGTAAGGGTAGAATGAGAGAAAGATAAACAGTACCTTCATACTAGAGTCGAACAGGATCAGCTATTCAATAACGATCAAGAGAAAAAAGAAGACCTTTCTTTATTAGTGATCAACTCGAACTTGATCATGTGGTGGCTTCGCCGCCGAAGTTTAGTGTTCGTGAGCGTTATAATATTACGGATTTGTTTAACAATATTTAATTACTATAAGCTTTATAGGGCTATATATATTGTAGCATATATATTTTTGATGAAAATAGGCATTAACTGGCCAATTTGGATGTTATTACTGATTACAAAAGCATCTCCGCTATGTGATTTGTATCTAAGGTTAAGTGTAATGTGAAAATCGGTAAGGCTTCTCCGAAATGCCTCCTTTAATACAATTTATTAGTGACTAAATGTTCAACAATTTCGATTAATTGAAATCAATAGAAGTAATCCTAGTGATCTTTCTAACATTTTTGACGAAACTCATCGTGTGAAATACGGATTTTAAATTTTAGTCAATCAAAATGACTTTTTTTTTTTTTTTTTGACATGATTATCGCGATTTATTTTTTTAATTAGCAGCGAAGGATGAAAAAAAAGTGATCTACACTTTATCTAAATGGTAAATAACTCGCTTGGTCAGTTCTTTTGATTTCTGACTAATTAAAATTTTAGCTTCGTCTAATTAAGGTACAGTCAACTCTCTATAATCACGCAGTTGGGATGATATCAACTTTTTTTAGAAATGTGCTTATAAAGAGGTTGTGCTTATATAAAGGTTTTATATTGTGAGCCCCGAAATCGGTACCACAGTTATCACGGTCACACGTGATCGATTGTCGCATCTAGGTCCCGTCCTCTACCCGAGTAATTGGTCACATGAAAAGTAAGAGAAACTTTACTTTTCTTACTTTTGTTACTTCGGGTAGATCAACGGCATATAGAATATCAGTTTCTTCTCTAGGATAGTAGGGATAGTGATGTGCCGCGTACAGTACTATACGTACTGTACGTACTGTACGCGAGAATTTTAAAATTAAGCGAATTTCTATTCTGACTAGGGGTGGGTCGGTTACGGTTATGACCGGTCATTGACCGGTCATAACCGTAACCGATATCGGTCGGTCATAGGTTTGTGACCGACCGGTCAAAATCCTGACCGATACTATTTTAGTGATGCTATTACGCAATAAT